AGTTTCACACTGTTTTCACCCATCCACCCTTTCTTATGAACATGAAAGAAAACACCATGTTGAAAATTATATTTCAGCATCATCTTTCTTTTAAAAATAACCACAGTTTTTAATTTTGTACCATCTGATAAGCAGAAAAGCTTTATATTCCTTTCGCATCAGTTATTTTAATAACTATCATATCAAGCATCACTGGAGTTCATATTTCTGGTATGTGACGATAAATAATTTTTTGCATTCGTAGGTCAATAACTAATCAATTTGTTGTCCAAATATTTTGGAAGCTTTTGCAAAACTTGTTTTTTCTCGTAGAACTAAATTATTCGATGTTATAAATCGACTACACTAACTCAAAGTTGCTTTAAAATTTTTGCTTTCATTTGCATTCTTTTTGCTTTTTGTATAGGCCATTTTATTACTCCTTTATGCAAAGCAAAGAAAAATGAAATTTCAATAATTAATATTTGCCGTATTAATTATTGTAATTTCATTTTTCTTTCACTCTCATTTGGAGCTTTCACCAACACCAAACATCTTTGCTGTTGCACGATTTCCATTTTGTTTGAGAAACTGAATAACTTCATATTTAAAAACAGCCCTGTTTTGTTTGGTAGGAGCCATATTTACTACTGTTGTATTTTGACTAAAACAGATGCGATTTTCTAAAGCTTTTAATGGTCACTTCAAAATCATGGCTTCAAATGACTACAGAAAGGAAAAATAACTGACCTCCTAATTCTACAAATTCATTCAAGTCAAAATTGCAATCTTTCCCCAAATTATTTCTCCCTTTTCTCAAAACTGAGAATAACATTCTTGTGCAAATCTGCATTGAATGCAACCCACCCTTTTTGTAGAATTATTTACTCTCTTAAGCATTTTTCCACACTCGTATATTGTTCCACTTATTGCTTATCGATTCAGGATACCATGGTTCAAAAGCCTGGAAAAAATCTTCGAATGAATGACTTAGAAAGATAAGAGCATTGCACATGTATCTTTGTGAAGAAAAGGGTGTGCGTTATATGGTGAATCTACCTAAAAATTAAAAAATGTAGTTTTAAATTATAGGTGCACATTATATGCCGAAATATATAATTGTTTTTTCTCAAAAAATCAGCTTTTTTATTTGTTTATTTTTGTTATGATTCTTATGATTTAAAAAATAGGATAGTAAAATTTTGTGAAATTGCAAGTATATATATATAAAATAATTTATAATAAAAAAACTTTCCATATACCATCTCCAAGGGAAAAAAATTCAGTTTAAATCCAAAAATAGGAAAAGAAAAAAAAAAAAAAAAAAGGCAGTATTTTTATTAGTATTTGAAATTAGTATTTTCTAGACTTCCTTTGCTTTAAAAGCATAAAAATCTGCGCAGAAAAATCTTTAATCACAAAAATACCAAAATCAAAAGTAAACATTTTAAGTAAAAAAGTAGCCATTGCCATAGATCGCAGATTAATGAACTTATCAAGGAGAATAAACAAATCTACCATCAATTAACAATAACTAAAGTAAGAGAGAGAGTTTCGTCTTACTTCCAAATAAGCATCAAATTTTTTTGCTACATCCAAATCATCAAACACAAAATAATACTCAATCAAAATAAAGATAATTAGTTTATTTAAGCCTAAAGAATCCTGTTATCATTCGAAATTTAAAATATCTGTTATATATCTTTCTCAGTTATGTATTGCTTCTGAACACCCATTGGAAAGGCGTATTAATTGTGCTTTATAGTAGTGGTCTCAAATTCCATGCGAATCGACTACATAATCTGAACACAACTGATGGGTCAGAATTCTTTTCCCTTCCCAAAATGAAAGTTTATTCACGAATAAAAAATATTGTAACTAAATTTAAAACTTTGCTTAGTAAATGTTTATCAAAACATAGACAATAATAATAACACAAAGGGAAAAAAATTAAATTTATCTTTATTTTCTACTGGAACTCTAAAATTTCATACCTACAAGACATTTTTCTTTTTTACACTTTGTAACTCAAATATATTGATGACTAATATTTCAGATTGACATATATTTAAAATAATTCTAATAATTTAATAATCATCAATTAAATTAAACAATAATTAAAAAATTAATTAAACCAATTTTGAAAACTTTTTAAGTAAAAAGTTAATTTGAAAATAAATCATGAAAATTTAGTATATCTCTCTTATTTACTTAATATTCTTTAACACATAAATAGATATATTTATATGTAATTAATTATAAATCTGTATCTAAATACAAAATTTGTTTGTATAGTGTGCAAGGGAGAAAACTATAAATTATATTTATCGCATATTGTAGATGCTCATTGATCAACGGTTCTCTTCTTATTATATTTTCAACTCGTAACTCGTATGTAAATGTATTCCTAAACAAAGCAAGTATTCTTAGTGTACAAATTTGTAACCAAACAGATTTAGTTTTTTTTACAATATGAATAAAAAAGTTAACCAGATCTTCCAAATCTCTAAATGAGATTTATATCCCATTAGAAATTAGCTGAATTTACAGATATTCTGGTGCTTTGTTCTTGTTAATTTTTAATGATAATTAAAATAATGTGAATTTGGATTTTCAATAATTAAAAATCTTCAATTTTTGAAAAACTATTTACTTCAAAGGCCACATAAAATTGCATAAAATGCATCCTGTTGGCCACCAGTTTGAGGCCTGCTTTCTAATATTTTCCCTTTTAATGTAGTATGCAGTTTTCAAAGACATCTTGATGAATACTGGGTTAAGTACACTTTCAAAAGAAATGCAAATCAAATAAATTAAATTTAACAAAAAAAAAAAAAAAAAAAAAACATTTTTATGAATAAAAGGCTGACAGTCCAATTGAATAAATAAAAGTATTTAAAATAATTATTTGAAGAAATATAATTAAACCACACAAATCAATTAAAAATGAAATTGTAAAAAGAAAAAAAAAAAAAAATGAATCTAAAAATTGTGAAGGAAAAAACATAATGCAAAATAAAAATATTTCCACAAAAGAAAAAATTACTTTTTTCGGCATGTTTGGGGGGAAAAAAGGAAATTGAAACAGGTTGTCATAAATGAAGAAATTCTGAAAGTGGATGGGTCCTAGGGTCTCGCATACCTCTATTCCTGCCACCAACCTGTGTAGAGGACTTGCTTGATGCATATTTAGAGTGCCCCATGTCATAAAGATACTATACATTTACTAACATCCACACCTTCTTCAGGATTTGAACCCAGGCCCATCATTATGGCAATCAAAGTCACTAACCCCTATCATGGTTGGATGGCATGTATTTTCTTAGTTAATGACATTAATTCCAATCCCTAAATGCTTTTGCAATTCTAATATTATAATCTATCACATTTCATTACTATTTTCCTCAACAGATGGCTCTGCATTTGTTTTGGCATTGCTGTGCATATTGCATTTGATATGAAATGCATGTAACTTCTCTTCTTTTTTGGGAAAAAAAGAACTTGTGTCTGATTGCTGATAGAATTTTATTTAAAATCTATGCTAAAGCAAGGTTGTTGCTTTTTTGTCTGATTGCCCTCAGAATTGATAGAATTTTATTTAAAATCAGTGCTATTGCCTAACTTTAAGTGGTTGGTTATTTAGCATATGGGTGTGTTAAATGCTGATAATTTTACTCTATTTATTACAAGCTTCAGTATTATAATCATGCAATTTCAATTTTCTATATTCAAATTCATTAACAATAATTGAAGTTATTTTAGTTGATACTTATTTTTCGCCTCATTTTCAAAATATCTATTAAAAAATATTTAGGAATTATGTACATTTAAAAAGTATTACGTAAAAAAAGAATTTGAATGAATAATGGATAAATCCAGATCTAGTACGATCAAGAAATATAAATTATGCTAGTTTTAATAAGATCTACTAATTACTGGAATGCTATTACTAATGAGGGAAGTGTCTAAGATTCCAGTCCCTGCTCCTCTTCCTTATGATAATACTCCTTTAGCAATCTAATAATCCCTTGATCACATATGTATACTATGGCATTGGTATTTTCTGGAAACAATACAATTGTCTGTATACTTTAGGAGATGCTTTCAGTTGTCAGTCAAGAGAAGGCATAATTTTTTGCTTTCTCTCATTTCAAAATCTATTCATTAAATATTTGCTGTCATCAGCTTTGTATCTGAATTAAAGCTATAATGTCCTAATAATTACTTTTTAAAAGCTTCATGAATTTTGTCTTTCTCTAGTTAATAAAAGCAAATATTGATCATAAACAATTGTGGAATTCTGTACCTTTTAGGGGTGGATTTCTTCCCCCCCCTTTTTTTTTAAAGTGGACGAGACATCTGCAATTCAAAAATAATATCCAAGTGATAATATTAACCATGATCATATTTAAAGGTGACTACTGTAACTATTTTTGAAACCACCTAAAACTAAATCTAAACTAATAAAAGTAATTGGTACTGTTCTGTTATCAGGACCATATTTAGAAATGTATGCACATGTGTATGTATGTGCATACATGCTATATACACTCATATGTACATCCATACATGCATATATGCATACATTTCTGAATCCCATACCGATAACAGAACCAAGTAATTTATCAATATCTGTAGTCTGAAAACTTTAAAAATAGCCTAGCCTTGATTTATGGAACTTCAGAGTAAACTCGTCAGTAAGAGAAAACAGTTAATAGTGAAGTATTGCCAATTTCAAAAATAAAAGCTGTGTATGCTTATTTAAATTTTTCAAAATGTGCTCTAGTAAATAAGAATTTTCATGAAATGAAAAACATGCGGCAGTTAGGAGGTGGGTGATTACTCTGAAAGTGCTAAAAGAACTTGTTTTCTGAAAATCATTTTTTGGTTGATGATGGTTATTTTTAAAGTTGCCGAACTATAATTATTTAATGTCAGAAATTAAAAAATATCTTTTTATTATGATAAATTTAATGAGTTACTTAATTGTGGCTTATCTCTGAATTTTTTTTGTTTTGCAGCTATGTAGATAATTGCTTTAAAATGTCATGGTTCACTGAAATTGCTGGTAAAGCTGAGGATTTACTTAACAAGGTTGATCAAACTGCTGCAACTGCTCTGCAGAACAAATCAAAATCAACATACAAATCTAGTGGTTATGTGAGCAGCCATGGCCATCCTTTTGATACAAATTTTGAACAAACTTACTCTGGTGCTAATGCATATATTGGCACAGAACAAAGTCTACAGCAAACATCTGTAATTTCTAATAAATCGGGTGACAGAAAGCTGTCATACAGTCCTACCTCATCAATGACAAATAGAAAGAAAGCTGAAAGTGATGATGAAAAACTTCTGAGATTTTTAAATGAAACTGAACCTTTCTCAGCACAGAAAAAGAAAATAAAGGAAATACCAAAGGTAAAAAAGAATGCTGATAACACCTATATTACAACTGATACAACAAATGTTAAAGAAAGTGAGTATTATATTAAAAACATTCTTTTTATATCTTAAGTTTTATGTTAATTGTAAGTTGATGTCAGTTTTTTTGTTTCAAATACGTATCTCTAAGCATTAAATTAGAAATAACTCAGTTTATGTACTAAGTATTTAAAAAAATATCCTTGAGTTCTATTTCTTTCCAGTACATTTTATTACTTTCAGGTACACTGATGCCCAAAACTAACCGTAGACCTATTGATAAATCGGCATTATTTCTGCTAACGTAGAAAAATCTGTTAAAATGATGGAATAATAGTTCTGATGTCAAGACAATAAATATGAATTGTTCAATTAAGTGTATTAATTTGATTGAAATTTGGTAAATACATCATGTAATGAGAGACTAGAATAATACTGAAAAACTTCTTAACACATTCATATTTACATTAATTATATTTACGTTAATTAGAATACAATGTTTATACAGTCAAAAGTCTTTAATCCGGACTCGTCGGGACTTCGGCAATTCCGGATTATAGATCATCAGTTTAAATCTGGTAAGATGGCATGCAGAAATTACAAAATTAAAAATATGAAACCGTAATTTATGAAATAAGACAATTATGATCTAAAGGGTATCAAATTTACAAAAAAGAAAAAAGCTTAATATTTATTTGTTTACTTATTAAAACATTTCTTTCAATGTAAGTTGCTTCGTTTCATGTGATAATACTTTCTCTTTAATTCTATTAAAACAGACATAATTTCTTGTTTACTTACAAAGTTCCGCTGTTCAAGTCCTATAATTGCTGTGGTCGAGAATGCCGACTAATTGTTGTCAATCGAAATGTTTCGTTTTCAATAACCTCTGGGGTCACTTTCTTCGCTATCGGAAGCGAACCTATAATGACGAGGAACTTGATTTAAATCATATCAAAGACGGAGTACATCGAGATGAAATACTACACTTAGGAATTATAAGCCAAATAAAATAAAAACATCTGCCCTGAAGATAAGGATAGTGCTGACAGATCAACCTCCAATCTGCGGTGTGAAATTGATAAACAGATTTCGATTTCAAAACATACTTTCGCTTTGTAGATACGAATTACATATTAGTAAACATATATCGGAAATTCTATTTGACATAATCGAAAGTTCAAGCTTACTTTTATGAAATTGCTCTAACAGTCTGCAAAAAATAATAAGCCGGATCCAATTCGAAGATTAAGGAACAACGCAATCTGCAACATTAACTGAATTAGATAATTTTAGCTTAGCTTAGACCTCCGTTACACATTAAACGTGCATGCGCACAAACATATTCGCAGCCGTAAAGGTCTTACGTGCACTCTTAAATGCCTGTGCGCATGCGTGAACGCGACGCATGCGCAGAAAGTTTGTAGCTTTGAGGTCCGGATTATAGATCATTCCGGATTATGGGTGTCTGAATTAACGACTTTTGACTGTATTTATATTAATTAGAATGCATAGTTGAGAGAAATTTTATTTCTCAATTTATGCAAATTAATTAGTATCAGTTAATTTTTTTTTTGTTACAAAAATTTTTATCAACTGTCTGCAGCAATAAATTATTTTAGATGTGTGACTACTGTTAAGATAGGTGAAAAAAAGATAGCTGTAGCATTTAAGAAATATGCAGATCTTAATGTTCAATGAAATATACAGATCTTCATCATCTATGATGAGGATATCATAATTAAATATTAAAACACTGCTCAGTAATAATTGTTGAAGTGTATTTTTAAATTGACTCTTGACTTCCATAGTTTTTCCTTAGCTCTCTGATACTGTACTAGTAAAATGGTTGCAACAGTATTATCATTTTCTGTTTGTTTAATGTTAGTGTTATTCCTTGTTCACAGTATAATTTCAAAGTGAGTGCAAACAAAGATGCCAAATATGTGCATTTTTTTATAATTCTGCTATGTTATGTTCTTGTATTCTGATAGCTGTTTTGTATTTTGAAAAAGAGTGCAGTGTTTATTTATTTATTTTATACTGAATTTTAAAAATAGCATTGTAAGCCATTCAATGATAAAACAATTACCTTGGAACACATAAAATCATGGTACTTTAGTATTATCATGATCACCTTAGTAGAAATTGCCAAACTCTGGCAACCATATCCATTGTAAGCTTTAAGTAATCATATCCATTGTAAGCTGCAATCTGGAAATTCACTGACTCACCTTAAAAAAAAAAAAAAAAAAAAAAAAAAAAAAAAAAATATTGCCAAACTGCGCCAAGGTTGTTGTGCTAATACGTAACTACCATAATCTTTTGTGAGCTGCAAAACCTCTTTGAATGTCTAATTTTGAAAACCAGAATTAAAAGATAAGAAAAGCTGGAGTATCTATAAATTGAAATTTTAATAATGGCAATACTGCTATATACCATGAAATGAAACAAGTACTTTTTATAGTTTGGTAACTAACCTACTTCACAATAAATGGATTCTCTCTTCCATTGCTTTGTCTATGTGCTATGATATCATAAGATATGATATGTGCTATGATTCTATTGCTTTGTCTATGTGCTAGCCAAATCAAAACACATATATAATGATATATGTGTTTTGATTTGGCTGTGTAGCCACAATATTCTTAAGATGGGAACTTTAGAAACCACAGAATTTTCAAACTATATAATCAGGTTGGGTGAGATATCAACTATAGTCAGAACTGAAATACCAGTTGAATAAAGGACATTGTTATAATCCATGATCATTTTATCACAATTCAAGCAGTGTAGATTGTAGTACAGTCAAAAGTTGTTAATTCGGACACCCATAATCCGGACCTCAAAGCTACAAACTTTCTGCGCATGCGTCGCGTTGATGCATGAGCATAAGAGCTTTAAGGCTGTGAATATGCTTGCGCGCATGCGCAAAATACGTTTACGAATGCGCGTTTAATGTATAACGGACGGTATAAGCCAAGCTAAAATTATCTAATTCAGTTAATGTTGCAGATTGCATTGTTCCTTAATCTTCGAATTGGATTCGTCTTATTATTTTTTGCAGACTGTTAGAGCAATTTTATAAAAGTAAGCTTCAACTTTCGATTATGTCAAATAAAATTTCTGATATATATTTACTAATATGTAAAGGATCTACAAAGCAAAAGTATGTTTCGAAGTTCATTAAACAAAAAGTGGAATTGCTGCAAAAAATGGATAAAGGCATATCCTTTGTTTATCTAAACTTTAATGTTTGTTTATATAAACTTTGTTTGTCCTTAACGCCGCGGTGCGCAATGAATTGGAAGTTGATCTTTCAGCACTATCCTTATCTTCAGGGCAGATGTTTTTATTTTATTTCGCTTATAATTCCTTACTAAATGTAGTATTTCATCTCGATGTACTTGTTCTTTGATATGATTTAAATCAAATTCCTCATCATTATAAATATCATGAATACACATCAAATAGTTTTCTGGTTGCAATTTTCTAATTTCGACTATGCGTAATGTATGCTTTACGCATGTGCGCGTTGAAAGAAATGTTTAATAAAGTAAACAAATATTAAGCTTTTATTTTGTAAATTTTGATACCCTTAAAATCATAATTCCTCTTTATTTCATAAATTATGGTTTCATATTTTTAACTTTATAATTTCTGCATGCCATCTTACCAGATTTAAACTGATGATCTATAATCCGGAATCGGCGAAGTCCCGACGAGTCTGGATTAACGATTTTTGACTGTAATTCTCAAATATGACCGTGATGACATGGCACTAAACTGTATCATAAATAAGCAGTACTGCTATTTTTTTTAATTAATGTGCAACTCTTGTTGCAAAAGAAGCCGTAATGCTTTCTATAGAATCTCTTTATTATTTCGCAGAATGATGTTTGAGTTCACATTGCTCATTGAGGCTAAGAAGTGCTCTATCATCTACCATACTTTCCGAACATAAGACCTTATAATTGTGATTAAATTTCTAAGATGAAAAAAATCACTTAATGGCATTTGTGAATTATTTCCAGGTATTGTTCAGGCAATAGATCACTTGTTTCCAACAATTAACAGAGCAGGTTTGCTACAAGAATATTACAACTTCTACATTTGGCTTAAGCCCCCCCCGCGAGACTGTATGGTATTTAGGGGAGCCTACTGTGGTATCAAAGGGCCAGGGTTCGTATCTTGGAGAACACATGGATATAACATGCATAGTGTCTTTGCGGCATGGAAGCACTCTAAATATGTGGCGAGTTGAAGGTCCTCTCAAGAGGTTGGTGGTAGGGAAAGAAGGGGTGGGAGACCATCAGATTTATTCCCTTGAGATGCTGTCCATCAGAATTGGGGGTGAAACTGAGTAAAGTCGTACTGTCAGCTGTATGGTGCTCAGTGCTCTTGCCAACAACAGGTACAGTCTTGCTCTCATTGTCATGGTGAATTTTGGGAGTTTGTTCTGATGTTGCTGTTAATTGAGGTAAGTCACAGCACAACAAATTTGGTTTGAAAACAGTGTTTGCAACTACACTGTAAGATGATAAAAGTTTCACCAAAAGTATCTTTCTTGTGTCCAGCTGTAACTAAATAGTTGCGATTATTAAAGTTCCATTCCTCATCTGTAGTTGCAAATGTATTAAAATGTAATTGTTTTAAAGATGCTGCAAGAAGTCTTAAATTTTTTTCTGGTAAGATTATTTATAGTTTTGGTAGTTTATGGTTATCCATACGAAAAAGCTGCCAAAAAATATTGATGAGGCAATGCAAAAATGTAAACACTGCATTGTTTAGAAAGCTGTTGAAAATTTTTTAGAGAGCACTAAATACCGTTTAATTTTAATCAAAAGCAACTGAGACTGGTTATTTGAAATTTATTTAAACAGTCATTCCATGGCTTATGATTCACATAAGAGATTGCATGTCTTGTTTTAAGCATGTACACTGCGCAAAAAAAAAAAAAAAAAAAGGGGGGGGACAGTTCTATATCTCCCATTCTACTGGGCCAATTGATGAAATTCAGCTTGCGTTTTTCATGTCTCGAAAGCACGACTTAGGATATGTATTAGATTTATATATAGCATTGTTCTAATTAGGAATTCTGACAGAAAATCAGACTTTTTCTGAAGTAACATATCGATTTTTTTCCATATTTCAGTTCTACAACTCAAATTACGCCAAACTACCAGGTTTTGTAAAAATTGCACTAGTAGTTTTTAAAGAATTAGCTCTCAAAGTTTTAGCTCCTCAATGTTAACTGAGTTTGGTATATATTTATTAATCTCTCTTTTTTTTATTAAACTTATTTGATTCTTCCTTTCACATTTCAAAATAAATTCATTCCAAATAAAATTCACCCATTTTTTATGATTTATTTTTAAAATTTGTATTTTTAAACAATTTTTATAAATTTATTTAAAATTTCCGAAGATGTACGGGAATTTATATATTGTTGCACTTGAAGTTTGGCATATTTGTTGAAAGTGTTAAAACATCAAATGTGGTTAAGACACGTTGCTAAAATTATTTGAAAGTAAGAACGATGTAACTTTTTTCCCCACTCATGCACAATGCAAAAAGGTAGAAACGAGTTGCCTTTTTTTTTCCCATTCCGGCATAATGGAAAGGAAAATTGGTTGCCATATATTAAGAAGTTCGCCAAGTGAATTATTCTTGGCTCAAACTGGAAAAAACTTCACCAAGATAAATTTTTTAATTTCTCCATAACTTTCACACCAAAATGTACAAAGTTTAATATCTAGGCATAATTATAGTCGTAGAATCAAAATATGGAAAAAATTTGGTATGTTATTTCAGAAAAAGTCTGATTTTGTGTCAAAATACCTATGTTAGAACAATACTATATATAAGTCATGCTTTCGACACATGAAAAATGCAGTTTGAATTTTGTCAATCACCTCAGTAGAACGGGAGATAGGGAGATATAGAACTGTCTCCCTCTTTTTTTGTGTGCAGTGGACATATTTTTCTTAGATGCAAATGTATGTTAATTATTTTTTACTTTAAATTGGTTTCTATAAATATGATAGAATGAAATTTAATTTTTCTTATCAATAAATACCTGTGTGTGTCTTCAAGCTATAGATATTTACTACATTTTAAATCTACTTTAAACTGTAGGTTATGAATTGAATATACAAATAGTAACTGTAAAATGTGGTGTATTAAATGATGTTTAATTTACTTTGAATTTCAGTATTTTAGATCAAAATTTACTCTTTTATCAGAGTTATTTTTCTTTTTAAATAGCTGAATGTTCTAAAATTTACTTTTTCAGGTGACAAATGATAGGACAAATTTAAATTATTTTGACTTGAAAGTTTTTGTAATTGTAAATCACTTTAGAATGTAGGCCATTTCATTCTTTTGAACAATTTTGTAATACACATTGCATATATAGCAAATAATGAGTCCAATAAATATGCATTATATTATTTGTTATATACAGTGGTTCTGAACCTTTTTTTTTTACCCCAGGCACCTCTTTCATCAGAGACAATATTTTCCTTCATTGCTAGGTAATCTTTTTCTCCCATCCTATCCTTTCCAAAACTTGAAAAATATACAGACATTTATTTAAATTTGTTGTTTTTAAAATTTTTGTTCTTTACAAGGCCTTGAGAGTTAAATGTAGTAGTATGTGTAGAACTGAGGTTCTCTGCTGCAGAAGTACAAATTGCGCTAAGTTGAAATCATAAGATATAATCAGTGACTTTCCTTAAGATGTAACAAAATAGATGAACATATCATGTCAGACTATGACATATTGGTGAAATCATACAGTGGTTAACATACAAATGTACTTGACTGGTACAACATGATTTAAGCCTGCTTAACAGTTCATTCAGACAGGCAGGTACTTGGCAATGTAGAAAAATTATCTGGAATACTTGGTTAGATTCCTATTACAATATAGTCTTCCACTACACTGCTCCATGTTAGGACTCTGTGCATCACATTGCTGCACAACGCTCGAGAGAATCATGGCTACTGGCCACGTCGACAAACACCTTGGATAAGCATAGCAGGAAGGACACAGTCTTCAACACCATCAGAACCAGAACACACAGTTGACACCACACACCCTTTCTCTCTGTTGGAAGGATTCTCTTGTGCAATTATACAGTTCACCTTTTCTGCTCAGCACAATCGGGAACAAGACCAACAAAATTTAGATACAAATTCCAACAAAATGTAGATTATTTTTAATGTATTTTATAAATTAAGCAAGAAAAAGTATAGAAAATAGTGGTTCTAAAACTTGAACAAAAGTAGCTTTTTATATTCATAACCTAAAATTAAATACTTAACAGGTAAACTAAAGGATGATCGCATTCCCATCTGAACCTATAAAATTCCCCCCTTCCTAGGAAGAATTCCCATCGATTGAGAATCCCTGTTCTGTTGTTGCTAATGCTCACTTGTCTGACATAGTCAGCCCAAGCCCATGAAATTCCTCGTGGCAGGGAGCGTAAGTTTTGCGCCTGTCATTGGCCTCAGCCTTGAGCACCTTACAGGTGACAGACCCCTGTTCTACTCCTTATAAATAAATAAAATTCAGCAATAGCTTATATAAAGGCATCTTTCTTGCCTCCATTTTTTTTTTCCATCAAAGAAATATAAAGTCAATTAGGATGAATAAAAACATAAATAAGACAAAAACTAAAAACTTGGGAAGAAAAAAGTGTGGCATCTTCATAAATTGATTTATTATGCATATTGCTTGAAGTCCTAGCATTGTATTCAGACAGAATGTAATTTCCTATACTAGGGATTAATGAAAAAGATTGATAAAGTCATATACCTTCATATAATGGCTCCTCATTATGTATGTTTATTATTAAGTGTGGAAAATTGTATACTGTATTTTTTAACAGATAAAACAAATTCTAGATACTGTGGAAGAAGAAGCATGCCAGAATGAACAGACAGTGCCACAAATTGAATCTGTAAATATAAAGGAATCTATATCTGAACCTGTAAAATGCACTGAAAATACTGAAGAAAAATATACCTCAGAATTATCTTCACTTCCACTGAAGTCTAAAATGATGGAATTGCCAGAGAGTAGTGCTATGCCAGTTACTGAAGAACTGTTGCTTGTACAAAAAAGAGCTGAGCATGCTGAAGCAGGTAGTAACTGATATTCAAAATGTCTTTCTTACATTAAAATTGATAACAATTTTAATAAAAATAATTTCTAATCAGATTAGTTCTAAAGTGGGTTTGACGAATTTTTATTTGAGTATAATTTAGTTTTTTTCTTTTTTCCTACAGATGATATCACAATCTACAGATAAATGGAGAAAACATAAAACAGTAATTTAATAGATGTTATAGTTCATGTTCAGTTTGGCACACTGTGATAAATTGGTAGTTTATAAATAATGATTTGATTTACTGTTGCTAAAATAGTACAAGAATTATTAATTTTTTGTAACCTTAAGCTTTTAAACATTTGATGTTTTTAAAATTTATGTTGTAAGAAATAATATATATATTTTTTCAATTATGTGATAAGCAACAATTTAATGTCAACCAAAAATATTATAAAAAATGTACCTAGCAGCATTTAAAAAATTATTTTTATGCTAATATAACTAAAATTTTTATGTCTCAGAATTTTTACAGCATTAAATATTCTTCATATTCCATTTTCATATGAATAAGACAGAAGACTCCATTCTTCATGTCAATATTTAATGCCTGTTTTCAAATAAAATACATATTCCAAGTCAGCAGAGAAAGTTTTGAAATGTACTTAGTTTGTAGTTTTGTCTTGATCATTTGATGTAACCATCATCATTTTAAATGCTCATTTCACACCATTTTTTCCATATAATTCTAAGCAGGAAGCACCAGCGAAGCACTTTTTGATAGATCATAGTGACAGAAGATAATTTCAACATATAAACGCAACTTAGACGTGACTCAGATACAGCTAGAAGTGGGCAAGATACCAGAAATTCAGCGCTTGTCCTACTAGCTGCATGGCTTAGTCATGACACATGGAAACAAATGGTCATGGTTTCTTTAGTATCACAAGTGATGTTGAATATTTGCCTTATATGACAGGGCTGTCAAGAAAGTGGAAGAGCAGTGTCATACATTTCTTACTTTTTGCTTGCACTCTATATACATTGCAAAAAAATTCTCCAGAAGGTCCACACTATCCATATATTTGTTGTAATTTCCTGTGAGTTTACGTTACTTTACGAATACAGATTTGTTTTTTCTTGAGAACTTCTTGGTCACTAAAGGCGGATAAATTGTATCATAGTTTCATAGGGTGACAGATCTGTCCTTTCTTTAAATTAAAGCAATGCAGTACTCTTTATCAAATGCTGTGTCATGTGTTTTCAATGTCTTGTTTGTTTGTTTGCAAGTATAATAGGACCCTTTCCCAATCTGTACTCAAAAATTGTTCCAACCACATGGACTCATCCAGTTCTGACAACAAGTATGACGTAAAAAAGTTGTTGAAATATATGTAATGATTTGAAGAAACTTCTGCTAAAAGATGACTTGTCATTCTATTGCTGTTCAGAACTCCATATAGCAGGTTCCTCAGCATGCATTCTTTTAATCCTTTGTGTAACACTACATAAATTGATATTCCTGTTTTTTTTTTTTTTTTTTTTTTAGTATTTAGCATTCACCGTACTGGTAACATTATACTGGTATCTCTAGAAAAATATCAAAATACCTTCTTTTTATGTTTTAAATTAAAATTTTTTTCTTGTATATTTCTTTTGCATATTAGCACCGAATTAAAATGAATAGTAAAATAAATTGGAGACTTATCATTTTCATGAAAAATGGAAAACTTCATTGCTTTTTTTAGAATCATTAAATGTGAGTGTTGTTGCTTAATATTCTCTGCCTCCATAGCCATTGCTGGGAAGACATTTTTTTAACTTTGCATAACAAATATCAGACAGATTATCCACAAAATAGTGACTTTAGAAACAACAAAATTAGGGATTTAATTCTTAGTTAAAAGCTTTAAAAAAAAAAATATATATATATATATATATATATAACCATGTTGCATCATTCCAAGTAAACCATAATTTAGAAAAAAACATTAAACCATTTTTCTGACCAATTTGTAAAATAAACTTCTTGAAAATGTCAGATTCTCCTTTTTAATCATATTAAGAATAAGATTGAAATTTTTGCTGCAATTAGAGATCTGCAGCTATTTCAAAATAGTGTGATACGACAGACTAAGAAAATGAAAGAATATTTATGTAATGACATTAGTAGATGTTTTTGTTTTTCCTTTGAATTTGATGAATTGACAGATATATGATACACAGCACAATTTTTTTTTAATTTGCATAGTTTTTAAAAATTATACATCTAAAGAAGAATTATTGTGTATGCTTTTTCTGAAAGAATTAAACTCTTTTTAAAAACTTCATCACTAATTTGAACTATTGCTTTTTAAATTAATTTCAGTAACAACAGATGGGGCAAGAGCAATGATAGGATGCATAAATGGATTTATAACTGTAAAAAATAAATAATAATAATGTTGAAATCCTAACCTTTTTGTGTTAGCATGTAATTTGATAAGAAGTATTAGCTGAGAAAATATTAAAGATAAAAAAAAAAAAATAATGAACATGGCATTCAAAATAGTTAATTCCACCCATGAAAGTTCCTTCATGTGATGTTTCTTCCACATGCAATGCAATGATGAACAGCCAGAGTTTTTATATGTGATGTGGCTAAGTAGAAATTAGTTTCTGGAGCAGTTTCATGATTTATTAATGAAGATAAAAAAATTCTTAAAAAGCAAAAACAGGAATGAGCAAATTTAAATGACAATTTAGCATTTTTTTGACAGATTTTATATCAAAATTAAATGACTTAAGCTGAGAATTACAAGAAAAAATTAGGTAACAGTTGAAATGGTCTGTAGCATTTAATGCATACAAAACAAAATTCAAATGCTAATAAAAGATCTTCAGTGAAACAATTTGGATCACTTTCTAAACATGCTCAATCACTTACAAAAAAAAACATTAAAATTTTAATTATAACACTAAAAAAGATTAATGAAATTTTGAGGTCAGATTTCATTATTTTGAAAAAAGTCAGTTATTGTACAGTATATGTCTTTTTCTTTTAAAAAAGGATTTAATTATAAAACATAATTTCGTAAAAGTTTTTGACACATTCCTTATTTGGGGGGGGGTATTAGGTAATGAAGACAAAATTATATCTGTGCAAACTGATAAAACCATAGAAGCTTGAGAACCTGAGGAATTTTGGAAATACATCAATTGAGAAAAGTATTCCAATGTCAGAAAACATGAATATAGCTTCTCTTCAAGTTTTCATATTTAAAATTCACAAAAACTAAACTAAAATTCCTACTTACCAATTCTTACGCTGAAAATTCATTATCTTTGTTTGGATACATGCAAAATTATGAATGCTTGGTTGGAGATATGTAGACACAGACTTCTCATTAAGGATTAGATAATAAAATGAAGTTTAATCAATATTTTTTCTGTGACTACTTTCCAATTAATAAGTATTATTAATTAAATATATTGATTTAATACTTCCTTCTGTATTAACTCTCATACATGAGACACAAATTTGAATGTGTTAAATATGGGTGGATAGCAACACATTTTTAAGAAAAAACATCAATCATAATAGAGTCCTGCAAACTCAACATAATGGGGACTGAGAGACTGTCAAGTTTTACAGAATAAGGGCTGGGTTTTTCAGAACTCTTAATATTTAACTGTAAATTCGTCTAGACATTTGTAGCACAATATTGGACATGAAAAAGTACAGCATACTTGATTTTTTTTTATATCAAGTTCTAGCTCAGTAGCAGTCATAAAAAGAAAAAATATTCTAAGATAATTGAGTAAAATAACTTACATACAAAAATGAAGAAAAATTATTAGTAGTTCTTGGTAGAAAAATATTGTGTGATGGTAGAGTGTCTCTCACACTCATTCTGCCATTGTGCAGCTTCATTCCATAGGGAGGGAAAAAATGTCCATGTAACGGAGCATTCATTTAGCAGCCATCAGTCCTTCACTGTGGGTCATAATTTTAGCTTTTCCTTTGTTTTCAATCTCTTCGTTTTGTGATTCATCTCCATTTTTATCCACATTGTCTTTCACCAGTGCAACTATGGGTATTTCTGCTTGTCCTAAAATTTCACAATTTTCATCTTGTCCCATCCATTCTTCAACATCACCTTCAGTAACTTCTTCGCTGCCCGGAATTTTCTCAAGTAAGTCAACTATTTCACAATTTTCTGTCTTTTCTCTGCTTTCATGAAATTTGTTTCCTCAATGGTCAACAACTCTCTCCAGGAATGAATGAGGCTTATCTGCTCGATTTCACTCCAAGAATGAGCTATCGATCCAAGATATATATTTCAGTTTCTAGATCATATCATACCCTTCCTCCATGGCCAGGAAAAGAGGTGAAAGATGTTTACTTCTGCATTATTTCTTCAGTGCCTCCAAAATGCCCTGGTCGATCAGCTGACTCACTGAAGTTATGTTAGGAGGGAGAAACATGGCTCTTATATCTTGTAACTTTTCTGCATTGGGATGAGATGAGACATTGTCTAGAAGGAGAATCCCCTTCCTTGGTAGATTTTTTGATTTAGAAATTTTTTCCACCAAGTAAAATTTTTGATGATGACCAATCGTTAAATATTGCTTTATTCGTCCATCATTTGACTGATTCCGATACCAAACAGGAAGATCATGATTGGTTTTGGTCCTATTAGTGTAATTTTTAACATTTTTAAACGCCTGAGGATTTTTTGATTTGCCTATAAGTGCTAGTTTGAGCTTATGGGTGCTTGTTGCATTGCTGCATCCAAGATTGTGACTCTCTCCTTGCTTTTTTTTTTTTTTTTTTTTTTTTTCCGAAGGTAGCATTAAAAAATTCAGACCAATCTCATCACAAATATAAATTTGATCTCCAGATATACCCTTCTTTTAAATTATTTTGAGGAAATTATCCTTGAATATTGCAGCATTTTCCAAGCTAACATATAGCTTTTCCCGACAGACGTTTAACTGCCTGATGCCATACCGCTTTTTCCATCTGTCGAGCTAGCCAACACTAACAGTAAATCCAGGCTCTCCTGAAAATTCATCATAAAATTTCAGGGCCTTTTTCTTGTAAAATTGGTCTGGAAATGATTGTTCCCTTTGCTGCCTGAACCACAAATAAAGCACCTCACTCACTTTTTTATATTTACACCTTTCATATTTTTTCTTTCCTTTAAACTATCTGTACATGCTCTTTTCCTACACCAAGACTCTATTTTGGACCTCATCTTTTTTCTCCCTATCAAAGTAGTCTGTCTAACACCTAAATCCATGTCAATTTTGTTTACACTTTCCCCTTTGTCCAGGCTATTTAAGGTATCTAGTTTTATTTCAGTTGTAACGTTAGTTTGTTTTCTTTTCTTTTCAAATGATATTTTCATTTCACAGAATATCAAAAGGTCCCAAAAATATGTAACACTTATATGCCTGGATGTGAACTGAGGAACAATACCCACAATGAACTGGTGTGAATTTAGTTTGCAATAAGATGCAGTCACAAAGCTTCAGACCAAGTCTCCTAACATTTTGCAACAATAGAAAGGAATGTGAGCCAGCTGCTACCTGACTTTTTCGTATCTTCGAAAGAAACAGTGTTGCCAAGTATTACAACATACTTTGAAACTTATTAGGCAGTTCTAAGAATTAATGGCATAATGCAAAAATTACAGAAAAAGAACACTTAAATCTTTGAACAGAACAGGAAAGACATACGCATAAATAATAATTATATATACTGTACGTAATATTTGTGTGTTTGGCCTAGAGATATCTTAAAAGGTTGCTAAAAAGGTATTGAGTTTGCTGGACTCTACTGTATTTTCAAAAATTGCCACTTGGGGTTGTAAGGAAGGTCCAGATTTTGATGACATGTGCATATTTTTTTTCATTTTTTAGTATTCATCGTATTAAAATATAATTAATCATATGTAGTTATTTGTTGTATAAAATATGTCTAAATTTATGAAATATTGTTGAGAAGAAAATTGTAATAAGTACTGGTGTAATTTCAGTTGACTTAATTTCACTGTCTAGTAAATCTTTTGTGCACTTTGTTAAATTATGCATAAGAATTAAATAAATTTGATTTCTCTAACAGTCATTTGATTTAAATCGATTTTAATATTAGCTTATTAGCTCCTTTTATGAAACACATGTTTTGAAGTGAGGAAATTTATGCTAAGAAGTAAATTTATTTTTCAGAGGTGACCCATATCTACCTATGGATTAAACGTTTTTTAGAGAACTTCATGCATTTGTAAGATTGATTATAATTTTAGCAACAGTGTTAATGTTCAGTGGAGATATGAATAATGATGAAAATTCAATAATCTTTTACTGAATTTATGATTTAGAAATTTATTCCTTCCCCCGGCCTAAAAAAATAAGTTATTTTTCTCTGTGCATCTTATTTTATTGTATTAGAGTTGTGTCCATATTTTTTAATAATTTATCAAAATTAATTTTTTTGCCTGCTTTTGAGATTTTTGCTTTTAATTTAGTTTTAATTGAGTTCAACATTATCATTTTATACTTGAATAAAAGCAGTAAGAATTATTTAAATTAATTTTATTTACCTCAAGAAAATATTTTACTTTATGATTAAAAAAAAAAAACTAATACCTACAAACTATTACATTATGTTTTAGAAATGAAGAGGATGACCAAAAAATTAGATCATTGGAACTCTCAGATTTCTGGGAATGACAAGTTAGTTCGAGAATTGAGAGAAAAAGAACGGGACATGATTGCTGCTTTGGATGCTAAAGACTCTCAGTTAGCAATTTTAAAAGTACGATTACAAGAGGCAGATCAAGAACTGCAAGCAAAACGCAATATAATTGAGAGTTTAAGAGCTGAAAATGAGAGGTAAGTTGATAATCATGATCACCTCTCTCTGTTTTAAGTTGAAATTAAGTGTAGATGGATTTTATAGTAGTAGTTTTGTAATTCATAGTATGGATTTCTTAAAGAATCATTACTTTTGTATGATCTGGTTGCTAACCATAAATTGCTAAGTATGGTTAATTAAGTGCAGGGAAACATGCCAATGTAAAATTTTAAATTAGCCCCCCCCCAAAAAAAAACTTAATTTGACATAGATTATAATGATGAAATTTTATTCAGAATCTATGCCAGACTAAGTTTTTTTTTTTTTTTTTTTTTTTTTTCCCCTAATTCTAGAGTATAATTTATAAATTAGTTTGTACTGATCATGTTGTTTCAGTACTAACATATTTTTCTGTTGACCAGTTTTGACAGTGTCACCAAACAGTGCAGTTTAGTTCAATATAAGCATAATGCTGCAACACACTCTTAAAATGTTCACTTTGGTTTTGTAAACTCAGTAAGCCCGGTTAGTTTTTGTAAAGAAGTTTATAAATTAACTGTATTTCTCTGTTTTTCTTTAGCATTTTGAAAAAAATGATTAAAATTTAGGACCTACCTTTGAATTCAGGAGCAGCAAGCAGTGCAGGATTTTCAAAGTTACAAGACTAGTTTTACTGATGCACATACTAAAACACTGAAAGACAATGGCAAACTACTTGATAAAAAAATGTAGTGGAACATATAACACCACTTAACTTCATATTTAAATAAATTCATGTCATGCCGAATTCACAAAGAAGGTGACAGTGTTATTGTTCTTTTAAATTCCATTTAGGATTTTCTGCTGCTGGATTTAGGTGCTGTTTTTAATAAATTTGTTTATAAGATAGTCTCAGAACTTGAGCTGATATTTATTAAATTTTTTGGTAATTATGTTTCATTTAGTTAGTTATTTCTTGGATAGCACCACTAAAACACTGTTTTCAAATTCAAATAACAACAATCAATTTTAGCACTATTTTCTGAAAAATAACTAGCTAAAAGTAGTAAACTGCATTACCAATTTTTTTTAATATGCCATACTCTTAAGTTGTATCTGTTGATTAATTAATTAAAGATTAATCTGTGATTGTCTAACTAAATAAAGAGCAATCCATTCCTCTAAATTCTGTCTGGAATCATTAGCATAATTTTTGTGGGATCTCCACCAACTTTTCACGGTTAATGGGCAAATCCATAACTACCATTTTTTCAAAGAAATCACTGTATAAATTCTTTTAAATTGCTCAGTAGGAATACTTTATAGGAAATGAAAATGTTCAAATTTGATGTAAAGCGTATGTTATGTTCAAGTGCTATTTTTTAATCGGATTTTAATTTTGTTTCAAAATGCTAAGTTGTTGGTAAATAAGTCTTCTGCAGTATATGAAAAGTAAAGTATTTAACCCTTTGACGCGCTCTATATTATTTTTATAATTTTTTTAACTAAAAACTCAAGAAATTGAATATTATGATCCTAGAGACAAATAATATATGAATTTAAAAAAAACTACTCTTGCCCATTGTTCTGTGGGTGGTGGTCACACTGTGAAACTACCGCGCGTTTAGGACTTGAAACTTACCTTTCTCCGTGCGTGTTTCCAATAAATGACGAAATTTATGAATTTAAAACAAAATGCATGTAGGAATTGCATAATATATAATATATATATTTTTTTACATTATTTTGTGTGTAGTGTTGTGTATTTAATTATGGCAAAGCACACTAGGGCTATCTGCCTAAGGGGAGGGATGCCTTTCGTGGAGGACTTTCTAAGGGAAACTGGCTCGTATACACGTTACACATGGGGAAAACCACGAAAACACCCATGCAGCCAGCCCGTTCGCGGGATTCGAACCTCGGACCGAACTACCAGTGTTCAACGGCTTTACCGCTCGGCTGCTGGTGAGCTGGTGGGCCCTTTTACATTATTTTACAAAGTAAATCGTCAGAAAAAATTTAAAAATAAATGTTTATGTAATTCTTCTATAGCAGTGAAAGTACCTACATAATAAGGACGTTTGGCTACAGGGATTAAAAAACTCAGTACAATAAGGATAAAAAAAAGACTCAGTTTTTTTTTTTTTTTTTTTTTTTTTTTTTTTAAATTTCAAAGAACAAATATTTTTTGTGACATTGTTCAAAGCATGTTTTGTCTTTTTGGTACATGCATGCCCACATTGCACGTTTCGCCACATGTATCTTCTTCTATGAGGTTTCTTCCTTGTGCTAGAAAATGTACACTGATTGGATCTAAATTTAACTGGTATATGTCCAGCGTTATTTAGTTTTTTTCATCTAGCACATGAAATTTGTGGGTTTTTTTATGTTAATGAGGAGGGGCTTAGTCTTTTGGGCTTTGATACGAATCATTCGTTTCCCATTCACACTTATTTTATTCGTATTTCGTCCCAAAATTTTCAGAAAATATTTTTTATTTAAATAAAACTTTATGTGATTTCTATTTTTTATTACAGCAAAGTATATGTACATTAAATTTAAACCACAGGAAAGAATTTATAAAATCACAATACTAGCTTGGGGAGCAAGTGTGTTGAAGTTGCTGGAAAAAGGAAAGACCTTTTTACTGGGCAGGTGCATGTATTGTTTAGTAATAAAATAACTCTGTGATTTCAAAACCCCTTATCTATATCCGGGTAAAAATAAACATTCCTATTCGAGAAGCAAGCAAACGCCATTGTGAAGAGCAGTGGTTTCAAGGCGCGACCACCGGGTCCGTGACACTTAGCCAACAACCACTTAGCCGACGGGACACTTAACTGACACCAGTTAGCCAACAGGACATTTAGCCGACACGGACACTTAGCCTACATGACACTTAGCTGACAGGTCATTTAGCCGACACGGACAGTTAGCTGACAAGACATTTAGCCGACAAGGACAGTTAGCCGACAGGACATTTAGCCGACGCGGACAGTTAGCCGATAGGACATTTAGCCGACAAGGACACTTAGCCAACAGGACATTTAGCCGACATGGACAGTTAGCCGACTGGACATTTGGCCAACACAGAGAGTTAGCCTACGGGACACTTACCTGTCAAGACATTTAGTCAACAAGTTACTAAGCCAACAGTGACGTTTAACTGACACGTACCCAAAAATTATTTAAACTATCAATTGCAAAATTTCTCGACTACTCCATAAGTTCAATATTTAAGTCATTTTTTTCACCTATCAGTAAAATTCATTTTTTGATTCTTAAAGATCTCATATGTGCTATTAATTATTGTGTTAATTTAGCATTTTTTGGTATGTATCGTGCTGTTTAGTGTACATTGGCCAAATTGAAAAAGCGCTGAAATTTCAAAAAAATTAATAAAACAAAACCTTAAAGAATATTTTACTTCTAAATTAAGCATTATGCACTAGTTTAGGGCCATAAACATTAACCTAAGTAAGTATTTTAAGTGAGAGGCCGTGGTCAATAAAATGTTACAGAATTTTTATCTCAAGAATTGTGGCATGAACTGCAAATTATAGAGGTCACAAATAATTATAGCCTTGCTTGTCTTAAAAATGCACTTTTTTAAAATTGTTTTTAATAACAAAATAAGATATATGTGCTAAACTAACCCTCACCACCATATGTTTCCAAAAAAAGTATAATTCAAGAATAACAATAATTTTATTGCATTATTCAGATTTTTCATGACAGGGAAAGGAAATTTCATTAGTGGGAGGACCAAACGATTTTGTAAGGGAAAGAATGTAACAGGATGTGATTTTGTAAAATAGTAATGAAACGTAAAGGTATTAAAAATTTGAAAGCATTTGGAAGAGCAAGATTGGAAAATTAATATCATTAAGTAAACAAAAAAATGTATTAACGATGTCAAAGTGTTCAAAAGAACCCAGTTGATTAAATGAAGAAGTTTTATGGATAATTTTTGATGATCTCACATTAAAATGTATATAAGTGACCGCCGTACTTAGCTAAAAAAATTCTTTTTTCCTTTCGAAATTTCATTCATATTTCCTGACGAGAAATTTCAGCTCTTTATCAATTTCGCCAATATACACCAAACAGCACGATACATACATGGACCTTATAAGAGATAGACTAACCCCAGTGGGCGGAGCGTGCGTCGCCCACATGTCCACAAGGAAGAGTAGGGATGATCTGGCTTACTTTAACACGGAAACCTATGGCGTTTGTATCACATAACTGTTTTTAATTATTAAATGTGATACGTTGTATAAGTGATGAGATTATGAAAGTCACAGTTTTTGCAAACAAGATTTAATATATCTCATAAAAGCACTTTTTACTGCATTTTGCACATTTTTTTCAAGCGTAATTCTTGTATAAATTTCTTTACTTTAGAAAAATGGTAAAAATTCTAAATGCAAAACTTATGGACTTATTTTTGTGTACAAATAAAGTAAAATAATACTGATAGCATATGATGTTTTGAAACAAATAAGATAAAATTAAACAAGATCTGATAATTTTCTTTGATTTTATGAGCATTTTCAGTCAGTAGTTTTTTTAAATTATTATAAAATAACAAGACGATCATTTATTTGATTATATGATCATTAATTATTAACATTACAAGATGATTATTTATTTTAGTAATTCATAAAATTCAGAGCACAAATTTTTTGAGTGTAATGAGGGGAAAAAAGATAAACTCTGGAAGCACTTAGCAATATAATTTTATATTACGCCCAAAGGAACGTTTTTGTAACGTTTTGCGTATTACCTTTATTTATTAAACATCATGTTCTTCGCAAGTAAACCACATAGAATTCAATTCAAGAACAATATCACAAAATATTTGAAAATGACATATCTTTATAATTTCCGCGAAGATAAAAATGTTATTTTCTGTACAGGGTTGCCATTGCTTGCTTTGAACTCGTTGAGTTTGTTAATCAAAACTTCATTAAAGTTACAATATGAAATGGATTAAAACAAATTCGAAATTAGGCCATCTAGGTGCCCATGTTTGGGTGGAGGATTACGTTATTCA